TGAACTGTCTTTGAAAATTATATTCACAATTTTAACAATTCATGCAATCATGCCTTGAAATGATCTTAAAACTTGTAATACTATATATGTAAAGAATTCGATGAATATGGGTTATGTTTTTGTTAAATAATGATTACATCTTGTAATCCCCTAGTGTTCCTTGTCTGTTTTTATAAAGTATTCATAAATACTAAATAAGTTAGAGTGAACTTCTTAGGGAACATTCATTATGGAATGTAACATCAGTTAGATCCAAAACATATGTTTTATGGTAGAGTTTATCAAAGCAATTAACAGTTTATGTGCTGCATCTCTGTCCAATGTGACCATTCACGGGTCACTGCCTTGACTGAGCTACAAAGAGGCTATGAGTGAAATTGGCCAGATGTTTACTTACATGTGAGAGAACATCTGGCTAATTTCACTTCCATTAAAGGAGCAACTTCATCAAAAGAATGTAATTTTAATATTGTTTAGGGAGATGGAAAACATCATTTGTCATGTTTAATGTCAAGCATAACAATGCATTTTATAACGCTACTAAAAGCAAGATTTGAATATATTTAAAATACCTTTCACCACCTATGGGCAAACAAAAACAAGATGAGTTCACGATCTGGTTTCAGAGTGAGTTGATGGTGCAGTGGTGTCTGGTCTAGTAGTCTAGTCTGCGAGCAAATGTTCTGAGGATGGAGGCTCAATTCCCACCACAACAGCTAGTCTCAGTCATAGTGACTGTGACAGCAATCAAAAATCGTTGCAAAAAATCTTCTTGATCACTAATGTCCTTTAGGGAAGGAAAGCTAAATCCTTATGGGGTCAAGTCTACATGTGGGTTCAGATACACAGCAATGCATCCTGGCCTTGCCAGTGACACCCATATCCCAGGAAGGAGTTTGTATTCCAAACCTTCCACGACCTCATTCTTCCCTATCTTTGAAACTTCCTCCAGTCTTACAATGCACCAATATCAAAAAGATCACAAAAGATGGCAAAGCAGGTGGTAAGAACAATTAAAAGAAAAGAACGGAAAAGAATGGAAAGAACTCTGCAAAGGATATCAAAATCAACATGAAAATTGTTATAATTGTATTCAGGACAGGAGGCTGGTCAGGTACAAATAGGACCTCTTAAACCCTAAGCAGTAACATTGAAAATACGTCCAAGAAACTTACTGAATAACTGCTTTGGGTCACTACCTACAATAGGGGGAAGAGGTCAACATTCTGGGCATGCCAATGAAACTAATCCTGAATCAAGGACTCAACAAAATTAATGCAAGCAGGATAATAGTACTGGCATATATAATGACACGATTTCTTAGGATGAGAATTTTCTTTAATCCCAGGGTTTTAAACGAAGTAGATGGGAACAAAGCTGACACTCTGACTATAATCTTCCAAAGTTCTCTTGATTTGCAAAATTTTCTTTTAGATTTGGAAAATACACTTCCCTCTCTGCTGTTTAAAATGGTGCAAGAGGGAAACCAGGAATTATAGTCCAGCTAACTGTAGTCTGGATTGTGGGAAGAAGGTTGTTGACACCTATGTGAGCAAACATTAGCAACCTTTATAAACTATAACTGTATATAAAGGATGGTAAGAGATCTCTGAAACCCTACACACTTAGTTCCCATGTGATCTGACAGAATAGTGCTCAGAAGCTATGACTGGAGTAAAGATAAGACTTTCCTCCACATTAACCGAATAACTCTTGTCAGAAAATTGCTGAAGTCTATGACAAATGATAGAGTGAAAATTTAGAGTATCTTAAGTTCTCAGCTGACCAGGGAAAGGTAGCATGCATCTGTAAAGTATAGGTCATTCTTGATGTACCTTGAATTAAACCTTTTGAAGAGGTGATTGAAGTGATGAACAGGAGAATGTATATGAGTTATTTATATGGACTTCCAGAAGATAACCATCCTCATCAACTGTTGGTTTATGGAATTGAAGGTAAAAGATTAACTTGGTTAGAAAATTGGCAGAAGAACAGGAAACACAGGAAGGATAAATGGCAGGTATTCTAATTGTCAGGTTGTAATTGTTTATATTCCATGAAAACTGGTGTTGTGGCCTCAACTATTCACTATGATTAATGCAGACAGATTATAGGATGGAAAATCACATACCTAAGATTGCCGATGGCACAAAGGTAGATGGTACTGTTAGCAGTACAAGTGTAAAATTACAGAGATATTGATAGGTTAAATGCAAAACAGTGGCAAATGGATTTTATTGTGGCAAACTTGAGATCGTCCACTTTGCACCGAAATTGGGCAGAAAAGGGTTCTTTGTAAATGGTGACAGGCTAGAAACAGTGAATGTCCTAAGAACTTGGGAATCCGTGTACACAGATCATTAAAGTACTATGGGAAGGTTCAGAAAATAACCAAAAGGTCAATGGAATGGTGGCCTTTATATCTAGAAGACTAGAATACGAGGGATTGGAAGTTATTCTACAACTATATAAAATTCTGGAGTACTGTAAACTGTTCTTGGCAGCAATCTTAGGAAAGGATAAATTGGTCTTGAAGAGAGTACAGTGCAGGTTTACCAACATGATATCTGGACTTCAAGGATTAAGTTACAAGAGTAGATTCCACAAAATAGTGTTGTACTCCTTCTGAATTTCGACAGTTATGGGGTGATTCAGTCAGAGTTTTCAAGTCATTAAGGGGACAGATTTGGTGGCTAGAGGGAAACAATTTCTGTTAGCTGGTGAGTCTGGTCCTAAGGGTTATAGTTTAAGCGTTAAAGCTAAACTTGAACAAAAAGTTAGAAAACACTGCGTGCACAAAAGGTGGCAAAAGGTTGGAGCAGTGATTGATACTAGATGAGTTGTTAATCTTAAATCAAGTTTGCTGGATTTTAGTTAACAAGTGTAATTAAGTAATGGAGTCAAGTCAAGTATATGGAGTTGGGTCACAGGTCAACCTTGAACTCATTAAATGGGGGAAATAGATACAAGAAGTTAAACAGCTTTCTTCTGTTCCATTGCTCTTCTGCATATTTCTCGGCATCTCTAGGACATCCCTGATTTTAACTCCTCCACCACTCATGGCCATGTCTTCAGTTGCCAAGATACTAAGGTGTGGAATTCCTTTTTTAAACCTCCTTAGCTTTCTACCTCAGTTTTCTCTAACTTGGTCCTTAAAAACATACCTCTTTGATTAGCTGTCCAAATACCTTTTTCTGTATTTTTATATCAAATTTTGTCCTTCATTTTAGGAAACAGGAGAAGGAATAGTCCATTCAGCCCTTTGAGTCAGCTCTACCATTTAACTAGATCATCTATGTCACTGCATTTTCCTGCACTATCCCTATATCTCTCGAAATATTTAATAACTACAAATCTATTGACCTCTCTCTTGGACATGCTTGGTGAATTGAGTCTCCATGGCTCTCTGGGTCAGAGCGTTCGAATCATTCTCCACCCTGTCAGAGAAAGTATACCTCCTCAACTCAGACCTAAATGGTCTAACCCTCCTGTGCAGCTCCTTGTGACCTTTTATTGTGTTAAGGTACTATATAAATATAAGATGAGAAGGACACTTTATTAAAGGAGGCTATATGTGAATATGACTATGTGCCATCCTGACTTTAATGCTCCATTTACTCATTTCTTCATTTGTTTGTCAGAAACAGCTCCACTTACAGACCCCAAACTATCATCTTATATTTTCTGTGACTATTTTATTCACTGGTCTTCACACTTGACCAAACCTCCTCAACACAACAAGCAAGAGCAGAGCTTCAAACTGCAGCAATTACTGTGTGAACAATCTGCGTGTAGACATTCCTGAACTGAGAACTCAAATCGCCCATGATTTCTTTCATTGAATGATGAAACAGACTTGAGGGGCTAAATGGCCTTCCCCGTTCCTATCCCATTACACCAGATGTGGCTGTATGGGACTTGTGCTAACCTTGAAACACTCACTGAGCTATAACATCATGTTATGTTTAGAATATGTTTGATCAGGTAATACATAAGTTTATCAAATTTGTTGCATTTTCTTTCAGATCTCCATTGGCTGCCTCTAGGATCCTATACATAGGGAGAGAGAAAGCAAACACAATTAAACTGCATTGGTCGACTGACAACAAGAGACAAAAATTGTGATAGCTCAGATGTGCAAATAGGTGAAGATCATGGCTTTTAGAGTAAATTGATGAAGCACAATTTTACAAGTAATGGTATGGCTCAGCTTCTGAATTGTGTCTTTCATCAATCCCTAAGGGGAAATAAAAGACTGAAAAGTAATGGCCTTGTTAAATAGGAACTTGAGAAGACATATCTTCCTCTGCAAGGAAATAAGGAGGCATTTTAGAATTTACCGATCTCTGAAACGAGAATATATGTAATGTACAGTTACAGACGCCATGAAATATTTGGTGATTTTGATTAATCATTCACTCACCTAGATTATGCCAGGAGTCCAAATCATTACATTGTTACTGCAGTTATAATATTTTTTATATTTTTAACTGTTGAACTATAGACACACTATCTGCAACAGCAATTTTTTTCTTGTCTGAAGTTTAGTGATTTTTGACATGAACAACAAAGTAGTCCTCCAGCTTTATTGACTTTGTATTATTTGAACATATTTCTATAAACTGGCTGTATATAATTCTGCATTGTATAGTTCTTCCTGCCTTTTGTATTGACATTAAATTAAAGTTTTGATTGCCTCTAGCCTCTTAGGAGGTGGTTGTCCTGTCTTTTGTTATTTTTAATTATAGATGGTAATCATCTAAACTTATTATCCTTGAAATTAATGAAGCACAAAACTTTGGAGTAGGACGTATGTCAGATGCGTGGTTATACTTCTGATCAATTTGAACTCTGCTTTGTACACCAGCTAGTTAACACATATTTGCCTTATTCTGCTCATCTGCACATCAGGGGCTAATATCTCAATCATGGGGTATATTTAAGGATTGATCAATGTTGATTTCGGAATGATCACTGATTTAGTGTTTTCTATGTTTCAGTTGCAGGCACCCAGTTTATGTGCAAGACTCCGGCTATTGCAGATATCGTGGTCCTTGTGGATGGTTCCTGGAGCATTGGCCGACTTAATTTCCGCCTTGTCCGGCTGTTTTTGGAGAACTTGGTTAGTGCTTTCAATGTAGACTCTGACAAAACAAGAATAGGTGAGTTTATCTTCTGGCAACGGCATGAAAATAGCAGGATACCTTTGTTTTTCTGTGTTTAAAGACTGCGCAGATTCCCTTGATTATATGGGATCGCAGAATAGAAAGTAGCCTGTTCAATCAGCCATTGCTGATACTGTCATCCACCACCTGATTCCTCGCCCCAGCCTGAACTCAACACTCCTGATCCTGTTCCCCTCTTCTTAGAGCTTGTCTCACTAATTTTGGATGGAGACTTATAGGGGTTTTGGGATTTCTTTGCATAGTAGTAAAAGTCGGAAAGTACCTCATTCATGAGTTTGCTAGCTAGGTGGCCAAAGTGATGACTGCAGATTTTACGATGCCCCCCACCAATCTGCCCAATCGAGTTTCGACCTTGAAAGCTTCACTCATTGTTAAAAAGGATACCACTTTCTCACACTTGCCATTCATTTGTCTCTCTCTCTTTCTCCCTGGGCTTTGTGGTGGAATTTTTTGTTTTGAAAATCACTTGGGTTAGCAGAATAGAAGTGTGCAACCAGAGCAAGTTAAGTGCAGAACTCTTGATCAACTCTGGTTCCAGTTACGATGAAGCTGGTGAAGTATCAGTGTTGAACACACGCCCTGATGAGCAGGAATTTGGACAGAGCAAGAGCTTGGGAATGGTCTCCTAGACAAATTTACTGTAGGACATGTATTAGCGTGGGGAATAAGATGGAAATATTAACTGCATTTAAATTTCAGCAGATGTTGTGGTGGATTTTGAGCCCATGCTCTCAGCTTTAACCTAGGGCTTTGAACCGCAGTCCAGCAATGTTGTCATGAGGCCATTGTCTCCCTTTTATAATCCATGAACCTTCCTTCACATTTTCAACAGATGCACTAATAAATCACAGTTTGTTGAATTAGCACAACATCCACAAACATTCACTCCCTCCACCACCATTGCTTTGTATCAGCAACATGTCATATCTACAAGATATCATGTAGAGATTTAACAAGCTCCTTCGACAGCACCTTCCAAACACGTTACCACAACTATTTGGAAGGGCAGGGGCAGCAGACACAAGGAAAAACCACCAGCTGCAAGCTCCCCCCAAGCCATTCACTACACTAGACTTAAAAATATATCACTGTTCCTTCAGTGTCACTGAGTCAAAATCTTGGAACAACTCCCCCCTCACTAACCACCACCACCACCAACAGCAATTTTGGGTCTGCCTACAGCAAATAACTGCAGCTGTTCAAGAAGACAGCTCACCCCTATTTCCTCAAGTGTAGCTAGGGATGGATAACAAATATTCTCTCAGCCAGCGATACCCATATCCCCTAAAAAAAATCAGTACTTTCTCATGGTTGTTCATGTATCTAATGAACAAACTCATCCATGGCCTCTGCTTGGAACCTTAGCTCAGGTTGAAGCTGTGTTCTTACAGCATGGAAGACAAATTTTCTAGCACTTCAATTTACCAGCACATTATTATCCCAGCCTACTGAATGTATACTCTATATTGTACTATATTATAAGCACTCCATTGTAAAGTTGTGATATTTGAAGGGAATTCACCCTTTTATAGAATTTCACAGGCGAGGAGAAAACAATTTGGCTCATTGTGCTTGGGCCAATTCTTTAAAAGAATTATACAATTAGCCCCTCTCTCCCTGATCTTCTGTCTGTACCAATGCTAATTTCCCCAATTCCTTTCTGGAAGTTACTATTGGATCTGCTGCTCCTGCTCTTTCAGGCAGAGCCTTCCAAATCATGACTACTAGCTATATTTTGTTTTAAAAAAAAGAAATCTCAATTCCCCTCTGATATTTCCAGCAAGTATCTTAGCTAGTCATAGAGTCAGAGAGATGTACAACATGGAGACAGACCCTTCGGTCCAACTCATCCATGCTGACCCAATATCCTATGTTAATCTGGTCCTATTTGCAGCCATTTGGCCCATATGCCTCTAAACCTTTCCTATTGATATATCCATCCAGATGCCTTTGAAATATTGTAATTGTACTACCCTCCATCACTTCCTCTGGTAGTTCAGTCCATACATGCACCAAATTATCAGCCCTCCTGTTCATGGAAACAGTTTCTCTGTATTTATTCCATCAAATTTCTAAATCATTTTAGCCTTATCTGCTCTGAGGAGAACAATCACAGCCTCTCCAATCTCTTGACATAACTGAAGTCCCTCATCCCTCAATAAACTAATCTTGGTTAAGATATCAATAAGCTCAATAATAGTTTCAGAACAGTTCAGATTTGCTGTTCCTGATCATACCCAGTTCTATCTGCTTAAGTTTGTTGTTAGCGTTGGCCTTAGAATTGAACTGTGCTGTATTAATTCCTGCTGTTAGATGGTTCACTGATAATATGCTAAAATGATAAGAATGGTATTGGGTAAAAAAAACAAAAATAAGTTAAGCTTTTTTTAACTGAAGGACTGAGACACTGATGTTTTTACTTTGTGCTTTAAGACATTGCGGTTTTTTTTTGGTTATGGAAAGGCAACATATTTTAAATGACATGGGAAATGTTTAACCTTTGTGAAAATTACTGTATTAGGACATGATTGGCACTGGTCTGCAGAAATGCTTTTAGCAGATTACACTTTTTCAGATTTTACAGGAGTGATCTTGTAGAATTGCTGACAGGTTTGATGGAGATAAATCAAATGGGTAACGATTTCTATTCATAAAAAGACTGAACTGTTTCATTTCAAAATGATTGGGTGATTACTCTTTAGTGCACAATAGTGTTCATTCAAAGATGTCACAAACTAATACATTGTTGCATTGCACAAACATGTAACGCTTTTTGAACTAGTCATCCATTTGTTTCAGGATTGGCACAGTACAGTGGAGACCCAAGGATAGAATGGCATCTGAACCAACACAGCACAAAGGAAGCTGTACTGGATGCTGCCAGAAATCTTCCATATAAGGGCGGGAACACTCTTACAGGTATTGTGAAATGTATAAAATGCCATTTTTAAACAAAAACCATGAAAGCTAGAAATACAGATCAGCCAGCATCAGGGGGTTGAGCACAAACCTCACACTATTCTCCCAGAGCAGCACAGAGGGAGTGGTAAACAGTTGGAGGTGCCATTTTTTTGGATGAGATGTTACACTAAGGCCTAGTTTGCTCTCTTGGGTTGATGTAAAGTATCCTGCTGCTGCTCGTTTGAAGAAATGCAAAAGAGCTCAGTCCAGTATTCTGGTCAATGTTTATCCCTCAACAAGCATCACTAAAAGCAAATTATCTGGTTATTTATATGGTTGCTGTTTGTGGAAGCTTGCTATATGCAGATTGGCTGATGCTTTTCTCACAGCAGTAACTGCACTTCAGAAAATACTTCATTGGCTGTAGCGTGTTTTGAGATATCCTGAGGTTATGAAAGGCGCTATAGAAATACAAGTCTTTTCTCTTATAATGAGATCATCGAGGGAAGTCTGAGAGCTATTTATTAGGAACAAAGAAGGAGTTGAGAAAATTGACATAATGGGTTCCCAAGGAATTTAACAGCCCACGGATGCAAACTTTCAGTATGCTGCAGAGAATGCTGTAAAGACCCTGAGATAGTATAAGTAGGTGTTCTGCCATTCTGAGTCAATTTGCTGTTGTACTGATTGTAATAAAGGGTTACTGTTAAGTTGATATTTGGACCTTGCCTCATTGATTCGAAAATGAGTTGAGCTAGCAGGTCAGAACTTCAACAAAACGTCAGTGATATTAATGCAGGGGTCTCTTCGCTCCTCCACTTGCGACCTTTAACTCATCCACAGCTGTTCCTTCAGCTGCCTGGATCCTAAGCTCTGGAATTCCCTCCCTAAACCTCTTCACTGAGACATTCCTTTAATGTTTCTCTTTGACCAAACTTATGGGCAATGGGCCTCATATCATATGGAATTCTGATAGATAACCATCTTGTGAAGTATCTTGGGAAGTTTTTGCTATGTTAAAGGCATTAGAAAGTGCACATTGTTGTTAACAACACACGAAGACGCATTGTCTGCAGCATTGGTATAGTCATTAAAATAGTGGAAAAGGAGTCTTTCATTGTGCTGAGAATTCGACCCATTTCAAAGACTAGGTTAATATCTGGTTTGATGAAACTACTTAGTAAATGGCCTAACTGGCATCTCATAGACTTGGGAGGGAAGGAGGATGGTGATGGTGGTGAGGGTATGGTGGGCTCATCTGTTTGGTAAGCTCAGACTAGACCTCTCGGGCGTCTCTTCAAATAGTATCGATTTGATGGTGAGTTGTATAAATCCCACTTCTAGACTTCATTTGTCATTGACATGAGGAGCTGCCCTGTTTGGGTTAAACAGGAATCAGTTATTTCTTATTTGGGGCCTAAGGCCACCACTACATGTTTATGAAATCTCCTCATCCAGACCACTGCCTCCGTTAACCCCATACAGATAGCTGTCTCTTACGGATTATAGAGTTGAAGTGATGGTGTTTTATTTCTGCAGTGCTACATGAGCACATGCCAGTCATATGCTCAGTGCGGAGGCTCCATTCATTAGCTACCACTCCACCTGTGCCAGCAGCTTCCCTGGTGAGGACAGAGGGCATTCTGTCTCATGTGAATGCTGACTACCAGCCCCACCACTGAAAGGCTGAGGGCATCGATTGCTGCTTTTAAATTAAAACTAATCGATGTGAAATAAAGATGGGGCAGTCTGTGTTTGTGTGTGTGTGTGCTGGTGCTGAGGTCACTGTGGTAACACAAAGCAGCACATATATGGCCACATACTGAAACCTAACACTGCCAGCTGATATCACTGACCCCCAAAAGCATATGGGCTGGCAGCCATTTTGGCATTTGGAGTAATTACTCCATATTTATGTATACTATGTACAAGAGGATCTCGCAGACATCTCTGTTCTAAGCTGCATTAATTCCAACCTTCTAGCAGAGTCCCTGCCACATAAATATTGACATCATAGTATACCTCAGAGGCTTATTCACATACTCATTTAACCCCATCTACAGAGACGGGCTCAAAGGCAGCATGCTGAACATTCTGTATCATTACTGCAATTGATAGACTAGTTCAGAGTTTATAAACCAACACTTTTCTTGGTCTGACCGCATTTAAGTAAAATAAACAAAGTATTGCAATTACTTGGCAGCATTTAGCATTTCGAGTCAAATCTGACTTTTAAATAACTGCATTGAGCTCTAAATAGTGAACCTCAGGAAGAACATGTTGGCTTTAGATTCACTTGGATGATAAAAAAAAGGGTTCATTATGAGGGCAAACTGCATAGATTTGGCTTTTATTTCCTCAAGTTTAAAAGACTGTGGTATAATCTAACCAAGGTCTTTAAGATTAGAAACTGAAAAATCTAAAATTAGTGCTAGATCATTCAGGCGAGATATCAGGAAGCACTTGTTCAGACAAAGTGTATTAGACTGTGGACACTGGGGATTAGTTCAAATTTTCAAGACTGAAATGGAATTTATTTTTGGGTAACAGAATCATGGGGAATGGGACAAAAGGAGTTTAGGTGATGAGAGACCATGACCTGATTGAATGGTGGGCCAGTCTCGAGGGGAGGCTGAATGGACTTTTGCTGTTGTAATGCCCCTGCAACCAGTCCTCCAGCAGAATATTGCAGTGTGACCTTAAACAGTGATGCGCCTTCTGAAACTATTCACGGGATCCCTGTAAACTGTTGCACATTATTTCTACTGCTGATTAAGCCTTAGCACATACCACTAAGGTGAGAGGGGAGACACTTAAAAAATATATGAGGGGTAAATGTTTTACACAAAGAGTGGTTTGCATGTGAAATGACCTTCCTGAGGAAGTGGTAGATGTGGGCACCATTACAACGTTTAAAAGACATTTGGATATGTACATGAATGAGAAAGGTTTGGAGGGATATGGGCCAGGAACAGGCAGGTGGGCCTACTTTAGTTTGGGGTTATGTTCAGCACAGACTGGTTGGGCTCAAGGGTCTATTTTCTATGCTGTATGAGTCTATGAGTCTACACCAGATTAAGGTTTTATGTGGAGGCCTCAGAAAAATATGCACACTCTCTGCATTAATTGCTGGAACTGGAAAGTGGTGAGACTCATGATGGAACAGCCCTTGAGCAAGTCCACTCACCAGTTTAAATGCCTTCAGGATGAATTGTGTGTTGTGGGCTGGAGGCAGATTATACCACTATAAGCAGAGTCGCAGTGTAAAGCTGGTGTATTTGAAAGCTCTGAGATGAAGATTCCTCGCTGTCCTCCTCCTTCAATGTTCACCAAAGTAGCTTTAATATTATCTACACACCAAAAGATTTTCCCTAGCACTTCAAATATTTTCAAAATAATTTCTTTTAAAAATGTCGGAACTAACAGGAAAAAGAAATCAAATAGGTCAAAGGAGTGGTAAAAGTTGGCAACGATTCTTCAGATGGGTATTTATGTCCTAAACTGATCTGAGCAGTTGCCAAAATATTTTATGGAACATGTCCAAACACATTAATATAGCAGCCTCTGGATTAAGGTTACAATTATTTTTTGCTTCCTTATCGTGTAGTACTAAAATACTCCCCGAAGAAAGAGCATAAATAAAATCTGTTTTTGCTCAGAACTACAAAGTTTAATCTCCGTCTAGCTGGAGTTGGGTAATTGGGTAATTTATGGATGTTGATATGAAGAATTATTCTTTGCTTAATTGTACTGGTGGGGCTCTTTGCTGAAAATTATACTGAAAGAACAGAAGAGTTGCATTCCTAAAGCATCTTTAGTGACTTTGGGATGTGGGATGTCCCAGAGCACTTCACAGCCAATGTGGTACATTTGAAATGTAGACAACATGTCCATGTACGAAATATGCAGCTGATTAGAGCTTATCAAGTTCTCATAAACAGAAAAGTTGAAAATGACCAAGTAGTCCATGTTAATCATGTTGATTGAGTGAGAAATATTGGCCAGGACACCTGAGAGAACCCACTTCTTTGAAGTAGTGCCATAGGATCCTTAGCATGAGGGTGCAATTGGGCCTCAGTTTAATATCTCACCTGAAAGATAGTACAGCAATCTCTTGTTCATGAATGTTAAGAAAAAAAATCAGTTCAAAGCTTTAATATGAGCTGTCAGGTACTCAGGCCTGTGTGTTATGTCAGGTTTGGACTGGTTCACTTAATCCCTCTGTGGAAATTTTCAGCTGTAGGAGAGAGGAGAATATAAGAACAAGGGAATAGCTTGAGTTGTCCTGGCTCATGTCTTATCAGATCACCACAATGCTGTGACATCAACAGTTTGAATTAACAGCCTAAAAATGGCTGATCTCACCATCAAAATTGGTAACCCTTGCAAAATGTGGAACAAAATATCTAATCAGGTCAAACCTTGGTTCTGTGGTAGCACTTTGGGTCTGTGGCTGAGGGGTCAAGTCTCCCTCCAAACACTTGGCTATCTAATCTAACCTGGCATTGAAGGGCTGTCTGAGCTGTTATCTTTAGGATTGCATGTTAAAGTGAGTCCTGCCCCTTGGGTAAATGAAAGAACTCTCATAGTGCTCTTCAGAGAAGACCAAGAGCTTTCTCTGAATCTCCTGGCCGACATTTTGAAACTCAAACCAAACAGATTACCCAGTTATATGTTTAATTCCTGCTTTTGGAAACTTGCTGTTTGCAAATTGGCCACAGTGTTGGCAGCTCCTGAGGTTGTAACAGGTGCTAACGTTTGAACTACACACTTGTTCCCATTCTCACTATCCATGATATTTCTCTGGCCATTAATGGAGTGAAAGTTCGGTACAACTATGAAATGAATTTCTCTCTTTTATTCTTGTATGCAATATTTTATGTTCATTATCAAGTGGAAAATAATGCCTTTTCCTGAAGTTTAATCGTTTGCTCTATAGAATGCATTTTCCACCTTGAAAAGACTTCTGTGAACACCACAAAGGCATATGCACCACCTCATTCCATAGCATTCTTCATTTCTTCAGGACAGAACATTAGTCCTGGCAGAGTCAGGTGGAATCTTTATCAGATCACCTTGCGTAGAATTTCCAGGATAAAAACAGGCCAATCAGCCCAACTCGTATATACTGTTCTCCGCACAAGCCTCATGTCACCCTATCGGTGTATCCTTCTATTTTATTCCCCTACACATACTTCATCCAATTTCTCTTTAAATACATTCTTGCCATTCCCTACAATTGCTCCAACATTCTCCCTACTCCCTGGGTAAAGACATTTCTCCTGAATTCCTTGCTGGATTTATTTTAGTGACTAACATTTGCTTATGGCCTGTCATTCTAGACAAACCTACAAGGGGAGATATTTTTCTATGTTGAATTTTCTATGTTGATATGTTGAATTAGATCAGAGTAGATTTTGAGATTTACAAGTGTTTTATTGAAAATCTACAGTTTAGAAAAAACACCAGTTTCCACATTTCCCATCTGGACGCCTTCCTGTCCAGATGTCAGATTTCCCACCATGGAAGAAGCCAGCTCTTTTCTTTTAAAATATACCCAGTTAAAACAAAAAACTGTACACCAGGGGCACTGTAGAACTAATCGAATACCAAAGGAAAGAACAAATGGATCTAAATCAAAATATCATGAGAGGGGGAGAAACCAGCTGTTAAATGCAAGGTCCAGGGAGCATCGGCTGCTCTCAAATAACTTTGGAGCTGTTCTGGTTTACCCTTAAATGGACATGAATTTCTTACTACTGACATTGTCTACCACATCAAATCCTCTAAATTGTGTTAAAAAACACTCTATCTGGCTCACTCCTCAGCTTCCTCTTTCCCAGCATATTTAGCCCTCTCAATTAGGGGCATTATTCTTGTAAATCTTTCTCATTTTCCCATGCTCTACACATGATTTTGTGATATCATAGAATTATTAGAATCCCTACTGTGTGGAAACAGGCCATTCGGCCCAATGAGTCCACATGAACCCTTTGAACAGCATCCCACCCCCCATCCTATCCCTGTAACCCTGCATTTCCCATGGCTAACCTACCTAGCCTGCACATCCTTGGACTGTTGGAGCAACCTGGAGCACCCGGAGGAAACCCACACAGACACGGGGAGAATGTGCAAACTCCACACAGACAGTCACCTGAGGCTGGAATTGAACCTGGGTCCCTGGCAGTATGAGGCAGCAGTCCTAACCACTAAGTGAGTCACTGTGCTACCCCTCTAAATTGGAGACCCAAATTATTTAAAGTGCTCTAAATGTTATCTAACCAAGGTTCAATTCTGATTAGCATAATCTCTCTGCCTTTCAAACCATCCCTCTGGAAATGAACCTCAGACCCTGGGTCATTGGACTGGAAACTTTGACTGTTTCTCTCTCCACAGATGCTGCCTGACCTGCTGAGTCTCTCTGGCAAGTTCTGTTTATAAATTGGTCTTTTTAACCTATACTTGACTGACTCTCCTTTGAATATTTGATTCATATCCTTGATTGATATTAGTGACATTCTAACATTCACTCTGGTATGATTTTTGATAATTTTTAGGACTTGCCTTAACATTTATCCTTGAGAATAGCTTCAAGCCTGAAGCTGGAGCTAGACCAGGCGTGCCAAAGATTGGAATCTTGATCACTGATGGGAAGTCTCAGGATGATGTCCTTCCACCAGCCAAAAGCTTACGTGATGCTGGCATTGAGCTCTTCGCTATTGGTACGTCTCTTGTGTAGCTATGAATACCAACTGAGCAACACATTTGAGAAGTGGTTAACTAGATTTTCACCATTGTACTAAGGCAGGTGCTAATGTTCTTGTGAGTTTACTTTACAGATTAAGGAATGGGATTTCTTAGTAAATGCTCTTTAGAGGGAAAGCCGAATAAACTGAAACTTACCTGGTAAAATATTCAAGAGGCACTTGGAAGCTACAGACTGTTGCAAGTCATGACAAAGAGATAGCCTGCAATTTGCCAAGCCCTTGTATAAATTAGTGAAATGTAAAGTTATTCATTTTGGAAGGCAACAGTTTTAAAAAGCAGAGCTTTTTATTTGAATGGTGAGAGCTTGGGAAATATTTCCATTCAATGACATCTGTGTGTCCTTATACATGAACCTGAGAAAGTTAATAGGCAGCAAGCAATTTAGAAGGTAAATGGTCTCTTAAATTTTGTTACAAAGGAGTTGGAGAATAAGAATGAAGAAGTTGTACTACAGTTATACAGGGCATGATAAATCCACAGTGTTTTGGTCTCCTTACCTGAGAAAGGATGTACTTGCTCCTGATGGAATGCAGCAAACCTTCACTAGATTGATTGTTGGAATAAGTGGATTGCACTGATAGGTCTATATTCTCCAGAGTTGAGAAGAATGAGAGATAATCTAATTTAAATATATAAAGCTCTTAAAGGGCTTGACATGGTAGTTACTGGGCAAACATTTTCTCCGGCTGTGAAAGGGTCGGTCATTTATCAATAAAGTGAGAAATTAGTGAATCTTTGGAATTCTATACTTTACGGGTCTGTGGATGCTCAGGCAGCAAATGTGTCTAAGACAGATGTTGTTGACTTTTGGATACTGAAGGAAGTAAAGAATATAGACATTTCAGGAAAATGGAGCTAAGATTGATGATCAGCTGTAACTTTGTTAAATGGCAAAGAATGCTCTAAGGTCAAACAGTCGAGCCGAGTTCCTACGTCTTATGTAAAGGCCATGCCATTCAGTGCAAGTCAATAGTGGACTTTGTAAAAGAAAATGAAGTTGTGCAAAATGTAAACTGTTACCTCAGTGTGCATATTATCCGAGAAACTGCTCTATTTCTGGTTTGAACACTGGCATGGCTCAGAGATAAAATGATTTCTGTGCTGCTGTCTAAATATAGAACTCCACATTTGGGCTCTTCTGGTTTAGACATAGTGTCCCTGTCTTAATACCGTAAGATACCGGAGCGGAATTAGGCTATTAGACTCATTGTGCCATTCAATCAGGCTGATCTATTTCTAAACCTCATACTTCTGCTTTCTCCCAATAACTCTATATCCCTTTACTAATTACGTAGCTATTTATCTCTGTCTTAAAGATACTCAATGACTTGGCGTCCACGGCCATCTGCAATAATGAGTTCCACAGTTTCAAGATTCTCTGGCTGAAGAAATTCCTTCTCATCTTAGTTCTAAAGGGCCGCCCCTTCACTCTGAGGTTGTGCCCCAGGGTCCGAGCCTATGCTTCTAGTGGAAATGTCCAATCCACATCCACTCTGTCCAGGTCTATCAGTGTTTGCAAGTTCAATGCCCCACCCCAACATTCTTCTAAACTTCTTTCATGTACAGGCCCAGAGTCCTCAACTGCTCCTCATATGACAAGCCCTTCATTCCTGGGATCATTCTTGTAAACCTCCTCTGGACCCCCTCCAAGGCCAGCATATCCTTTCTTAGATATGGACCCAAAGCTGCTCACAATATTCCAAATGCAGTCGGACCAGAATCTTACACAGCCTCAGCAGTACATCCCTCCTTTTGTATTCTAACCCTCTCAAAATAAATCCTAACATGACATTTGCATTCCTAACTGCCCACCGAACCTGCATGTTAACCTTAAGCGAATCCTGAACTAGGACTCCCAAGTCTCTTTGTGCTTCAGATTTCCAAAGTGCAGTCACCACTGCTCCCTGACACTCTTGAAGTTCTTGTGTGTTATTGGTGACTTCCACCATGAAGACTGATGCAAAGTACCTAATCAGTTCCCCTATTACCTCTTTGTTCCCCAATACAACTTTTCCAGCCTCATTTTCTAGTAGTCCAATATCCACTCTTTCCCCTATTTTGTATATATTTAAAAAATCTCTTGAAGTCTTCTTCTATTTTACTAGCTAGCTTAGCCTCATATTTCATCTTCTCCCTTTGTGTTTTTAGTTGTCCTCTGCTGGTGTTTAAAGGCTTCCCAATCCTCTGCTTCCCATTCATCTTCACCATATTGTATGCTTTTTCTCTGGCTTTGATGCTGTCCCTGACTTCCCTTGTTGGCCATGGTTTCCTCTTTCTCTCCATTAGTATTTTTCTTCTTCTTTGGGATGGAAATGCCTGCCATTGCTGCTGCACAGTCTTCCCTGCTAGAGTCTCCTTTCAATCAACTCTGGCAAGCTCCTTCCTCATGTCTTTGTAGTATCTTTACTCACTTGTAATACTGTTACATCTGATTCCAGCTCTCCCCTCTCAAACTGCAGGGTGAATTCTATCATATCATGGTCGGTGGACCATGTAGGTTCCTGCACCTTAAGCTCCCTAATAAAGTCTGCCTCATTATACATCACCAAATTTCCTATGCCTAGTGGACTTTACCATAAGCTGTTCTAAAAAATAACCATCTCATAGACACTTCACAAATTCCTTTTCTTGGGATCTGCTATCAATCTGATTTTCCCAGTCCACCTGCAAATTGAAGTCTGCCACGGGTAATGTTATTGTCCTTTTTTGCCTTTTCTATCTCCTATTTATTTTCTTCCCCGCATCCTGACAACTGCTAGGAGGCCTGTACATAACTCCGATCAGGCCTTTTTTACTTTGTGGTTGCTCAACTCTACCCACACAGATTCTATGTCTTCTGGCTCTATATCGCTTCTTGCTATTAACTTAATTTCATTTCTTGCTAAAAAGGCAATTCGCCCAAGAGGCTGTCCTTTTGATTGGACATGCATTCTTGGATATTTAGTCCCCAACCCTGAACCCCTTGCAGCCACATCGCTGTGATATCTATAACATCGTACCTGCTAATTTCAATCAGCACTACAAACTCATTTACCTTATTATGTATACTGCGTGCATTTAAGCACAACATCCTCAGTCCTCTGTTGGTTGCCCCGCCTTCTCATAGTTGTCTCGTTATCTGCTGTGCCTCAAGTTAGACTCCTGATCCTTTCCATACCTCTGTCCTATTACTTGTTCTGTAAAATTTAATAACCTCCCCTGAGTCCTCTCCCCACCTTTAACTAGTTTAAAGTCCTGATGACCACTTTACTTAGCCTTTCCGCTGGATCGTAGAGTAGGAGGCCTAGGTTCAAAACTAACATCTCTGAACAGGATGATGAGAAAACATCTTTTTTTTAGATTTCCACATTCTGTAGGAGGTTTACAGTTCATACAATGACCATTTTGAAAATGAGGAAAAAAAAGACAATTGATGCCAGTTTGTTAGTCTCGTTGCTTTTCTCCATTATCAACAGCAAATCATGTCAAATTGAGATAGTAAGAACTGGAGATGCTGGAATCAGAGATAACACAATATGGAGCTGGAGGAATAAAGTAGGCCAGGCAGCATCAGAGGAGCAGGAAAGTTGACGTTTCGGGTTGGGACCCTTCTTCAGAAAAAAAGGTTTTTTTTTGCGGCTCCTCAAGCACATGCTCTCAGCAACGCGCCTCATCTTCTGGCACTACAATCAAGCCTACCCCAGCTCAGAGCCACCCTCTCCCAGACCTGCAAAGAATCATGTCAATTTGTTTGCTCAAGAATTCTTATCTTTTCTGTTAAACAATAGGTGTGAAAAATGCAGACGTGAATGAGCTAAAGGCAATTGCCTCTGAACCTGATGAGACACATGTATACAATGTAGCTGACTTTAATATCATGAACACAATTATTGAAAGCCTCACTCAAACGGTGTGCTCACGTGTGGAAGAGCAAGACAAAGAAATAAAAGGTATGAAACTGTACCTTTGCACTTGGCATCAATGTCATTATGTAATTATGCTGTATACGATATGCCCCTCTTTCTCATGAACTTCTTTATTTTCTCCCTACCTCTCAGCTCAGTACATTTTCTACAGTTTATGCAACATGTGAATCAGTAAACTGTTTGATTTTCCTCATAAAGCACTCAATATAAACTTTACCTCAGTAAGGTTTTTGAAAATTTGTCTTCTTTTTCAAGATTGTTGGAATAGACAATTGGCAGAATTTTTTTAGCAGCTGAAGTAAACTGTTGCATCAGTATAGATGACTGTTTCGTATTAGATGTAAATCTGACAACAAAACCCAAATTAAGTCACGAGTCAGGGCTAATACATTACACTAAGCCTACATGAATTAGGAAAGTTTGATGTCTTTAATTAGGAACTTTTAATGAAGGCTTAAAATTCAGTGGATACATTTAGTTATGCTGTTGTGAAGTGCCTAATTTTTACTTCAAAGGAGGATTGCTTAAACCTGCTTAAGATTTTAAGACTATTTCCCTTGGTCTTGGACTCCCTACTTAGTGGAAATCATTTTTCTATGAGTCTTACCCTTAATAGTCTGAGTAGTTTGATGGAAAGATAGAAGGAATGTTCCTCTTTAGATTAATAAAGGCATAAAATCTTGGTCTTGATTGGGGGAGATTTTGTGTGCTCTGTAGGTACCAAAATGACCAGATTATATATTAATGCCTTTTAACACAATGTTGGACTATAACCTAGTATCGTGTGACTTTGTCTACCCCAGTTCAACACCTGCACCTCCATATCAGAATTATGTGATCAAAATGATGAATTAAAGTAGGCAAAACCTGGGTTAAGTGTTGAAAAGGAGAATACCAAATAGTTGAGAAAATCTGGAACAGCAGGAAATGAAATATGCAGGCAGGAAGTGAAATACATAAATGAAATATTTGAAACAGGGTTGAATTTTTACTTTGGTCTAACTTCATATATCTTCAAGCAAATACTGATTTTTAAAAAAAGTATAATTTATACGTGAACCATCATCTATGGCCAAACAAACATCGTTAGTATGTTAACAGTGCAAGTATGACATTCACTTTCAACATTGTGTTAAAAGGCATTAGTATATAATCTGGTCATTTTGGCACCTACAGAGCACACAAAATCTCCCCCAATCAATACCAAGATTTTATGGCTTTATTAATTTAAAGAGGAACATTCCTTCTATCTTTCCATCCAACTACTCAGACTATTAAGGGTAAGACTCATAGAAAAATGATTTCCACTAAGTAGGGAGTCCAAGACCAAGGGAAATAGTCTAAAAATTAGCACTGGGCCTTTCAGGGGTGAAATTAGAAAAACTTTTGCATGCAAAGTGGGCTGGAAATTTGGAACTGTCTACTGCAAATGGCAATCGGTACTAGATTAATTATTAATTTTGCATCAGAGATTGGTAGATTGTTGTTAGCAAAATGGGGCATAGACAGGTATAAGAAATTAAGACACAGATTACCCATGACATAATTGAATTGAGCGACTGACTGGCTTTGTCCTGTTCTTAGTTTTCTAATTTGGCTTTTTGATAACAATGTCAATAGGCTTTCTGCAAATTTGTGATTCCAAACTAGAGCACCAGGTTTTTATTTTGTCTCCAAATCTTTAGAAGCAACTGGAAGTTTGAGTTCAAACCCAGTGGCACCTGAAAACCTTGTAACAACTGACATAACAGCTCGGAGTTTCCGTGTCAGCTGGTCTCATGCACCCGGAAAAGTGGAAAAGTATCGTGTGGTTTATTACTCTACCACAGCAGGTCAGCCTGAAGAGGTACGTCAGTGTTCATTCTAACAGAAGTAAATACGTGCAAAGTTTTACTAAGCGTCAGTGTATGTATAACAGCAAAATGCTCCCAATGATTCTGAAATAAAGGAGAAAAAGGGTTGGAATTACTCAAACAGTCAGGCAGCACCTATCATGAGAACAATCGGCTTAACTGTTAGAAGTTTCCCCTGGTCATTGGGAATCTGGCTTAAGACCCATATAAAGGCCTTGAGCCTAATCTTGCAGTCAAGGCACGCCCTGGCACAGAAAGCCAAATTGTCTGTCCTCTTGTTCATTGCCCTCCAACTTGGGCTGACTGTTAGCTTCTGAAGCTGGAGGATCCAAGAAGCGGGTCTTGGCACTGTTTGGCCAATTGCCCCACCAGGAGAGGTGGGCAATGCTGAGACACAAAGGTGAACACAACTATGAGTCAGGATGGAGGTGCTGAAACCTTTTGAAATTCAAACAGGCCCACTGTTGCTATGGTGATCAGCGTGGAGGGCAAACCTGTTCGCAGGAATACATTCGGCTGAGCCTACAGCCTTTTCATTTTCCTTGTGCCAATGAAATGATGCACCCAATGGGTCTCCAGCCAGCAGCTGGAAAACTGCTTCAAGTTGATGTTGCCTGCATTTGAAATCCTTTGGTGCTGGACACTGCTCTGATGCCAGGGAAATGTCAGTGATTTTGTTTTCAAAATGGCCATAAGTGGGACCTTAATTGTTTTTCCAATACTCTGTGTACCTCTGTGGAATGAGTTGTCGCTTCTCACCTCTGCTATATATATTTCTGAACAGCCTGCCTGGACTAGTTCTGACATGGCAGGTGCAACTTAAGTCCAGACCATCTGGTCCAGGGATAGGGACATTTTTACAAGACCCCAAAAAGCAAACATGCTAAGGAGCGCAGTCTCTTACCCATTCAGTATCAGTTTCTCTTAATCATTATAGCATTCACATATATATACACCATTATTCACACACCATTGACTCGTACTTGCAGCATTAGCATATTAGACCCTTTGGTGCTCATTTTCAGGAGACCACATCACTACATAAGTGCCAGATAATTTTCATATTCCTAGTGGAAAGTGCTATGTGCAAATTGGCTGCTGTGTTTCATACATTATAAGAGGAGCTGCATTTCAGAAGTGCTCTATTGGCTGTGAAAGCACTTTGGAATGTCCAGATGTTGTGAAAGATGCTGTAGAAGTGCAATTCCCTTTCTTTGAGAATAATCTTTCACCAGAGAGTGCAAGAGAACCTACTAGATGCAGAAATGCTCTTTTGTGCCAAAGTTCATAAATTATCCGGCTTTGAACTGATTCCAGCTAGGCTGTGTCACAACTAACTCTGCAAGCTGAGAAATGGAAGTCCTTTTCTCTGTAGGTGGTTGTGGATGGAACCGAATCAACAGCTGTCATTCAGAATCTGATGTCCCTGACGGAGTATCAACTCGCAGTATTTGCCATCTATGAGAAGGCAGCCAGTGAGGGTTTACGTGGGGTCGTCACCACATGTGAGTAACACGTAGCTTAGTCCCGATCCTGTGGTTAAACTAAAGTGGCCAAACTCTCCAGGAATGTCCTGGAGCATTCATGAATGGGAGATTAATGTTCAGAATGCTGCTGGGAACAAAAACCTGCCAGAAAATTCAGAAAGATGTTAAAGAAAATCAATTGTTCCTCTCCATTTTCTTTATCTTATTTTATATTATTTATTAAAATAATATTGAGGGTGGGGAAATGCTATTTGACCAATGGGTGGTGCAGTAGCTCAGTATTAGCTTCACAGCACCAGGCATCTGGGTTCGATTCCAGCTTTGGGTGACTGTGTGGAGTTTGCACGTTCTCACATTCTCCCTATGTCTGTGTGGGTTTCCTCCAGGTGTACTGATTTCCTCCTACAGTCCAAAGATGTGCAGATTAGGTGGATTGGCCATGCTAAATTGCTCTGTAGTGTCTAGGGATGTGCAGGCTAGATGGATAAGTTGTGGTAAATATAGGGTTACAGGGATAGGGTAAGGGAGTGGGTCTTGGTGGGGTGCTCTTTGGAGGATCAGTGCAGACTTGATGGGCTGAATGGCCTCTACCTGCACTATAGGGATTCTATGATTCTTAACAGGGATAGATATTGTTGAGTTGGGTGGTTATGTTTTTAAAACTCACGGATTGCCTCCAAAGCAGTCAATGACCCTGGCTTAAGCATCAGCTCTGACATTTGTGATTTGAGAACCAGTTGTGCCTGGAATGCAGACACATTGCTGAAAACAAGTTTAAATGAAAAGTACAGACAGTGCAAAAGAATGGTTTTGCTGATGCTTGGAGGCTGGGGTTTTGGCAGAATCCTTTGCAATTAGAATCTGAAGCAAGAGCACAATAAATGTTGAATAATGCCTTGTTGTATTGCCCTCTGTAGGAGCAGACAGAAGTTCATTAATGTATACAACATAATTTATCAACTTAGCTACCACTCCAGTCCAAGGTTCAGTTTAAGATCAGGCTTATAGTAACCTCTAGGAGACTAGACAATCAGAGGATTGATTCCATACAAACTGTGCATAAAGATAAGTCAAGTTTGGGAGTGCATTATGAAGCACTGTCCCACTTTATAATCATAGATTTGATTGAATTTGGGGTTTAAACTCCTCACCAGTGACTTGATATTCATTGTGCTGAAGTCTTTTATTAAACTATTGGTAAATGTGGAAGGGTTTGGGTTGGGGTAGGGGGCGTTGGTAGGGTCATAACCAGAGGCAGCACCTTCTTCAGTGCCTACATATCCCATTTATAATATGGTGACCAGAACTGCACAGTTCTCCACGTATGGGCTAACCAAATTTGACAAAGGTTAAGGAAATCTTCCCTACTTTTCAGTCCTACCTCTCTGGAAATAATATCCGTGCTTAATTTGTCTTCTAAAGGATTTGCTAACTTGTAGCACAGCTTTTATTGACAGGAGTTAAGATGCAGCCATAATCTAATTGAATGACAGAAAAGGCTCAAAGGGCTGAATGGCCTATTCCTACTTGTGAACAGCTATTTGTCTCTCCTCTTCCAGTGGCACTTCCGGCAGCTGCAGATCTGAATATCTATGATGTGACCCACAGCAGCATGAGAGTCAAGTGGAAACCTGCACCGACTGCCACTGGTTACATGATCCTTTATGCTGCACTCACGGGGGGAGAGACAGCTGATGAAAAAGAGGTACACGTTTTCGTTAAGTGTTCAATGTTTAACTCCACTTGGGCTGCTTCCATCCAAGCTGCGTGGAAAATTGCATTCACAATTTTACAAACGGGACAAATGGACATCATCTCATTTTTCTATTAAAAGAAGAATTCAGCCTTTTATCGTCTAATATGAAAGACACAATGCAGTTCATTTATTATCAGGAAGATATAATTTTCCAGGTTTTTTTCATTTTAAGCAGGTTTATTGAAAGGATGAGATTGGACTCTGAACTGTCAGAAGTCTTGGCTTTCCATGAGACTTCAAGCTGAGGCTCTGTTTATCCTCTAAGATGGAAGTACAAGGTTTCATGGCTGCTATTTTGAAGATGAGCAGAGTAAGCTTGTAGTATTGTAGAGGAAAGAACAATGGGAATGGCACCAATTGGTTAGGTCTTTCAAAGAGCTAGTACAGGCATGATGGACGAAACAGCCTCTTCGTGTGCCATTTCATTCTGTGACTGTAGGTCAGACATAGGCTTCCAGAAATAAAGGCTGTAAATTCAAAAGATTGCCTTCGTCTGTTGAACTCAACCTGTAGAACTTGTGTTTTATATTGACAGTGAGATCATCAGAAGTGCGATTGAGAAATCAGCTTGTATTTTCTGCTGTAGGTAAAAGTGGCTGATTCAGTTACAGACATAGAACTAGAGGGATTGACTCCAAACACTGAATATACTGTAACAGTGTATGCCTTGTACGGTGATGAAGCGAGCGACCCACTGACTGGACAAGAAACAACATGTAAGTCTCACCTGTGCTTTTACTAGTTTATATTCCTGCTGGACAAAATTCTCAGGTAAATCTTCATCTTTATGGGTGACACCATGAGATGTGCATTTCTAGAATCGTATAGCACAGAAAGTGGCCATTCAGCACATTGCTTTAATCTGACCAGTCTTCCCTGTGTGATCGGTGACCTGGCTTAGTGGCTGCTAATAGATGCCACACTCAAAATGACAGACCATTTTCTTTACGGTCTTTTTGGGCGTCTCATTAGACGGGAATAGTATGCACAGTTCAGGGATCGCATCCCATTTGGGGCACAGTCTAAATTCTGGACATTTGTGCTTATCTTTTGAAATAGAAGTTTGAGTTGTTATTATTTTTGTTATCATTCAATAACAATTGTGGGGAGAGAGTGGAATAGTAGTAATGTGACTGGACTAGTAATACCGAGCCCAGACTAATGTTCTGGGGCCTTGGGTTTAAACTCACCATGGCAACCAATTGAATTTTCATTTCAGTTAATAAATCTGGAATGTAAATTAGTCATGACAGTTATCATCAATTGTTGTAAAAACCCATCGGTTCACTAATACCCTTGAAGGAAGTCTGCCATCCATACCTGCTCTGAGCTACATGTGACTCCAGACCCATAGCTAAGTGGTTGACTTAACTACCTCCTAACATGGCCTAGCAAGCTGATAAGGGATGGGCAATAAGTACTGATCATGTCAGTGACACTCACATCTTATGGAACAATGGTGAAACGTATCAAGGTGCTTCAAAAGAGCAATATCAGACAAATTCTGATGGTGAGCAACATTAGGAGATATTAGGCCAAAAGGTTGACCAAAGAGGTAGATTATAAAGTGTATCTTAGAGGAAGAAAGCAGAGAAACAGAAACGTTTAAGGAGGGGGATTCGAGAGCATAGCGTTTAGATAGCTGAATGCATTGCTACCAACAGTACAGTAGAAATCTGGGATGTTTAAGTGGTTAAAATTGTAAGAGTGCACATGCCCCAGAAGTTTGTAGGGCTGGAGGACATTACAGAGTTAGGGAAAGGGTGATCCTCCATTGAATCCCTACAGTGTGGAAACAGGCCATTCGGCCCAACAAGTCTACACTAAACTTATGAAGAGCATCCCACCCCGACCCCACCCCCCCATCCTATCCCTGTAACCCATTTCCCATGGCTAACCCACCTAACCTACACATCCCTGGACAAGATGGTCAATTTAGTATGGCCAATCCACTTAACCTGAACATCTTTGGACTGTGAGAGGAGCACCGAGAGGAAAGCCACGCAGACACAGGGAGAATGTGCAAACTCCAAACAGCCTGAAGATGGATTCCAACCTGTGTCCCTGGTGCTGTGAGGCAGCAGTGCTAGCCACTGAGCCACTGTGCTGATCCTGTGTAAGCATTTGAAACTAAGGATTAGAATTTTCAAATTGAATGTTTCCCAGTCTAGAAACGCATATAGGCCAGGGGGCTAGGATTAGTAAGAAGTTTATTTACAGATTGTGTATAATATTTTAATATGCAGATTATTTCCATTGTGGAAAACATATAGCAAAAAAGACGATTTGCGAACTCTTTCTTACATTATGTGTGCATTTACATGAAAATAATTTTTTTCTTCCTTTTACTCAGTGCCACTCAGTCCTCCTCGAAACCTGGAATTCTCAGAAATCAGGCACAGCACTGCCAGGGTCAGCTGGGAGGCAGCTTCAAAGAAAGTTAATGGATATCGAATCATGTATGTGAAAACAGATGGCGCAACAATAAACGAGGTAAGTGCAAGAATTATTTACTCAATGATGGTTAACGGGGAGAATCAGAAGACAAATTTACTGTTAACATTCTTTGAAGACTGGCTGGGGAGGGGAATTACTATGCTTTGCTGGGTCAGTGACTCTGTTCCTGTGAACTACATATTGGTGAAAAGGGCTACACTGCAGTTTGATTTGTTTGTTTGTTTGAACTCGTTCATTATTGTCTCTTTCTGGCAGGGAAAGCTGTTCCTAGCCTGGGCCTATACGTGACTCCAGTCCCCTAAGTCAATGTGGTTGATTCTTGAACACCCCTCACGAACCTCTCACTTGTACTAAGAGTGGTGATAAATGCTGGCCCTATCTGTATCACCCATATCCCGAGAAAAGGCTTCTAACAAGAAATGGTGGTCACACTTTGCAGGTCCAAAACAATGTCTTAATATTTCCTAAGTTGTACATGGCAATGGTTCTCAAAGGGTTAATGTTGAAACTGTGTTGAGCTCTGCCCGATCTAATGATGTCATACAGTCTGGGGTGTGGTAAGGAGGAGTCTAGCTCAAGATTCTGAGGGGGACAGATATGTCATCAGTCTCTCCTAATGGTCTTCAATATTACGTCTAACTAGCCAATGTAATTTGTATGTATTGATATCATGTGGTAAACTCCTCTTGTTAAGACTTGCTAGTTGTCCAGTCTCTACCACTGTTAACCAAGTAAGCCCTTAGGCCTAGTATACAAAAGAAGATTGTGGGTCTTGAGACACAGCGGTAGTGTTCTGACCTCTAGGCCAGGAGATCCAGGTATGAGACCCACCAGCCCTGGACTCTCACAACAGGTCTGAGCAGGTTGACCAAAATAGTTTAGGAAGAAGATTGGTACCATTAGCTGGTAGTGGTAGGTACTGCATATAACAATCTTTAGTCTCCCCACTAGTAAAAGTTGAATCATTCGTGAGCGTGTATGAGCAACTTTTTTTAAGCTGGGAATAATTCTCTCAGCTCACCTCATCACCTTTCCAATGTTGCAATGGCAGCTGCCTTGTAGGGTACTGAATTAGTTCATAGGAATAAACCCTTTAGCTTCAGTCTGTCATCAATTGTGATCTACATTTGAGGCACTGCAACCCCCCACCCTGTGACTCAACAGAGAGTGAAGGATGACCCAATGACAAAACTGTGGCAAGTCTGCACAAACCACAGAGCATTGCAATAACCATTACCACTAAGAACTTTCCCTGAATTATCTCTGTTTGCTCAGTGACACCGTTAACATCAGTAATCAACTTGTGGCACTGAAAAAAATGCAAGCTTGCTGTACGAAGGAATATAAAAATACTGGCAACTGTGCAATGAAGAGATTGGAGTTATATCAACTAAGTGAATTGAAAAGCTGGGATAAAACCATGAATTAATATAAAGTGCACAGCACAGAAACAGGCCATTCAGCCTAACTGGCCCATGCTGGTGCTTATGTTGCATATAAAGCCTTCTCCGAATGCTTTTCTAAATTCTTCAGTTCCTTTCTCCATCATGTGCCTATCCAGCTTTCCCTTAAATGTGTATATAATATTCACATCAACCACCCCTTTGGTAGTGAGGTGCATATTCTTACCACTCCCTCAGTAAAGAAATTTCCCTTGAATTCCCTGTTGGATTTATTAGTAACTATGTTGTGTCCATGATTTCTCTAGGATGAAGTTGAAGGGTCAACGACAACTTTCTTAAGTAACCTGACATCACTTACAGAATATACGGTTGCTGTTTTCTCCGTTTACGATGAGGGGCAGTCAGATCCTCTCACAGGCAGTTTTACCACAAGTAAGCAAGCATCTTCTCAGCAAACATTGTTGCTCTGGCCTTCGGTCACATTGTGTCTTAAGTTAATGGTTCAATATGAAACATTTCTGCTACAGAATGCACTTCATACATTCATATATTTGCTGCTCTTTTGTTTTCATCTTTGTCCATTTCAGAGAAAGTTCCAAAGCCCTTGGATTTAACAATCAGTGATGTTTCTACAGACGAGTTTAGAGTTGGTTGGAAGCATTCTGCTGATGACGTTACTTTGTATAGACTGGCTTGCACTCCCCTGAGTGGTGAGGAGGCAAAAGAGGTAAGGCACAATTCATCTAGAAACAGAAATGGTGTAGGAATTCAATCTGAAATTAGATCTGATCATTCTGTACAACTCTGAATACCTGAATTCACACAGTCACAGTTTATGAATGGGAAAAATAATCATCAAAATCTTCTTCAGTGTGTTTGTTGTAGCAAAGTTATAAATCCACGACATTCACAATTTAGCTCTACCCAATGAACAAGGAACATTTCATCTTTGTGTCTTCTGCAAGGTACCAAAGCAAATATGTCATTCTCAAACTGGTCAGAGAATGTATTTTTTGTCACATGAGGTTGAATTGTGTGAACAAACATCAATAAATATTTAATTTTTAACACACAAAAACAGAAATTGCTGAAGAAATTCAGCAGATCTGGCAGCATCTGTGGAGAGAAACAAAGTTAATGTTTTGAGTTCCATGACTCATCTTTGGAATGGTTCTGAGTTCTGAACTCGAAATGTTTACTCTGTTTTCTTTCACAGATACTGTGCAACCTACTTAGTTTCTGCAGCAATTTTTATTTGTGTGTTTCAGATCTCCAGCATCTGATTTTTTAAAACTTTATTGTTACATTTAATTCTTGTCTCTTATTTTTATTTGATCTTTTCAAATAATTCTACTCCACCTTTCAATGATCCCAGGGTGTGTAGGTACAGATATCCAATTAGGTAATCAGGTCATTTTATAATTTTCACTCATGTTCAAACAACAAAGTAAGTCGAATAAAGTCTCTACTTGGTAAGACTACTTCTCTCAAGCAGATTTATGATTTTAGAAGGGCATCTGAGATCTAACATTTAGAATTTATTGTAAGGAGTTCTCCTGAATCCTTTATTGACCCTGATCTGCTCTCTTCTTTAGGCAGAAGCATCAGTCTTTATCTGCATTCTTGCCTGTGACTTGTGAACCATGATCCAATGGGTAGCACTCCTACCTCTGAGTGAAAAGATTTTGGATTCAAGTCTTATCTCTAGAGACTTGAGTGCAAAATCTAAGCCGACTCTTCACTCCAATACTTGGAGGTGCTGTATTCTGGGTGGGATGTTAAATGGAGGCTCTGTGTCCTCTCTCACTATTTGAAGAAGAACAGGAGATTTCTCCTCAGTGTTTTGGTCGATATTTATCCACAACCGGTCTGTAAAACCTTCAAATAGAAGATTGAGGAGCTTGACTGTTACATTTCCAACCCTAATAATTTCCTATACCTAACAGTGACTGCACTTCAAAAAGCACATAGTTGGTTGTGAAGCATTTTGGAGCATCCTGAGATACTGATAGGTTCAACAAGAAATGCAAATTCATCTCTTCATAAACAGATTGAGAAGGTATTCCTGGTTCCAGATGCACTGGATCTCCCAGGTACTGTGAATATTGCAGAGGGTAATCTTGACTTTATGTGATAATGTCACATTTGGGCAGCAAGGACACAGAATAGACTCCGGGTGGAGGATTTCAACATTGACTGTAGCTCAACAACAACACTACTGATTGAGCTGGTTGGGTCCTAAAGAACATAGCTGCTAGACTGGGTCTGTGGCAGGTGGTGAGGCAAGAGAGGAAAGCATACATAATTTCATCCTTTCCAATCTGCATCTGCCAATGTCAGTATCGTTAAGAGTGACTACAGCACAGTCCTTTTGGAGATGAAATCCTGACTTCATAGTGAGAACACCCTCCATTGTGTTGTGTGGCACCATCACTGTGCTAAATGGGGTGGACTTTGGACAGATCTAGCAACTCAAAACTGGGCATCCATGAGGCACTGTGTGCCATCAACAGCAGCAGAATCGTACTCCAGCACAATCTGCAATTTCATGACCTAGCAAATCCCCCTACTCAACCATTACCATCCAGCCAGGGGATCAACCATGGTTCAATGGAGCAGCATCAGGCATACCTAACTATGAGGTGTGAAGCTGCCTAACAGGGCTACTTGCATGCTAAACAGCACAAGTACCAAGCAATAGAGTGAAGCAATTCCACAACCAACGGAACAGATCTGAGCTCTGCAGTCTGGCCACATCCAGTCATGAATGTTGGTGGACAAACAAACAACTCACTGGAGGAGGAGGCCCCACAAATATCCCCATCCTCAATGATGGAAGAGCTCAGCACATCAGTACAAAAGATAAGGCCGAAGCATTCGCAGCAATCTTTAGCCAAAAGTGCCAAGTGAATGATCTATCTCGGCCTCCTCCAGTGGTCCCCAGAATTACAGATAACAGTCTTCAGTCGATTTGATTCACTCCACGTGATATCAAGAAACGGTTGGAGACACTGGATACTGCAAAGACTACCAGCCCTGACAACATTCCAGTAATTGTACTGAAGACTTGTGATCCTGAACTTGCTGCTCTCCTAGCTAAGCTGTTCCAGTACAGTTACAGCACTGGCATGTACCCAAGTTGCCCAGGTATGTCGTGTACTCAAAAGCAGGACAAATCCAACCTGGCCAGTTACTGCCCCATCAGTCTGTTCTTGATCATCGGTGAAGTGATGGCAGGTGTGATCAAAAGTACTGCCAAGCCGTACCTGCCTAGCAATAACCTGTTCACTGATGTCTAGTTTGGATTCCACCAAGGCCATTCAGCTCTTGACCTCATTACATCCTTGGTTTAAAACATGGAGAGAAGAGCTGAATTCCAGAGGTGAGGTGAGAGTGACAGCCTTTAACATCAAAGCCGTATTCAACTGAGTCTGGCATCAAGACGCCCTTGCAAACTGGAATCAGCAGGAAGCAGGGGGCAAACTCTCTGCTGGTTGGAGCCACACCTGGCACATAGGAAGATGGTTGTGGTTGCTGGAGGTCAGTCATCTCAGCTTCAGGACATCTCTGCAGGAGTTCCTCAGGGTAGTGTCCTCAGCCCAAACATCTTCAGCTGTTCCATCAATGACGTTCTCTTTATCATAAGGTCAGAAGTGGGAATGTTTGACAACGATTGCATTATGTTTAGCACTATTCATGACTCCTCAGATACTGAAGCAGTCCATGTCCAAATGCAACAAGATCTGGACAAGTGGTAAGTAACATTTGTGCCAAACAAATGCTGGGCAATGACCATCTCTAAAGGCAGACAATCTAACCCTTAACATTCAATGATGCTACCATCACTGAGTTCCCATCCCATCAACATCCTTGGGGTTATTGTTGACCAGAAACTCAACTAAACTCACCATATAAATATAGTGGTTACAAGAGGAGGTCAGAGGCTAGGAATGCTGCACAAGTAACTCACCACCTGACTCCCAAAAGCCTGTCTATCATCTACAAGGCACAAGTCAGGAATGTAATGGAATATTCTATACTGGCCTGGATAGGTGCAGCTCCAAGGACACTTAAGAATCTTGACACCACCCAGAACAAACACACTGCTTGCTTAGCACCACATCTACAAGATGTATTGAAGAAATTTGCCAAAAATCCTGAAGCAGCACCTTCCAAACCCATGATTAGTTCCATCTGGAAGGACAAGGACAGCAGATACGTGGGAACACCAGAACCACCCCAACCTGCAATTTCTCCTCCAAGCCACTCACAATATTGACTTGGAAATATATTGCCAATCCTTCACTGTTGTTGCATCAAAATCTTGGAATTGCCTCCCTAATGGCATTGTGGGTCAACCTACAGCATGTGGACTGCAGCGGTTCAAGAAGGCAGCTCACCACCACCTTCTCAAGGGCAACTAGGGATGGGCAATAAACACTGGCCAGCCAGCGACACCCACATTTCACAAGACAATATAAAAAAAGGCCAAGAAGGAAAAGTAAATGGACAAAATGACTTCCCTTATCCATAAAGTAACCTACATAATTTTTGACCACTGAATTAATTGGAGGAAATTCTCCAGAGACCCCTTTGAGGAATATGTAAATTGACTCTCAGAATTCATTAATACTCTTCAGTATTAGGTGTACACCTGATAGGAATGGTGACAATAACATTATATTAACAATGCATCTTTGCCTTTCTACATGAATAGATTTAAATATGGGAATGAGTGAATTGTACTGGAAACTTTTATTTTGCAGCTTGTTTTGAGTGGGGACGTAGACACCATTGTTCTCTACGATTTGTTGCCTGGGACAGAGTATGAGGTTTCTCTCTCTGCGATTTACAATGATGAGACAGAAAGCGATGTTGTGGCTGTTCTGGAGACAACACGTAAGATGACACATTTGGAAGTACCCTGCTCAATTTGCGAACTCTGTTATATAAAACAATAGCTTTGGTTGTGCTCTGGTCTCCTAAAACCTTAACAAGAATGATGGCTGCTAATTTGAAGCAGCAAGTTGCACTTATATAGCATCTTTAACATGGTAAAATCAGCCCAAACTTCATTGTGAAACAAAATTTGGATACTGAGCCGCACAAAGAGATGTAAGGACAAATGACTACAATTTGGTCAAAGAGGTAGGTTTTGAGGAACATTTTAAAGAAGTGAGAGGTGAAGAGTTTTAGGGAGGGGATGTCAGAGGAAGTGGGCTCAGTAACAGCAGGTATGGCCACTAACAGTGGAGCAATGGAAATTGATAACGTGCCAGAGATCAGAATTAGATCAGTATGGAGACCTTAGCGAGTAGTAGGGCTGGAGAATGTTACAGAGCTTGGAAAGGGTGTGACCATTGAAGGATCAGAACATAAAGATAATAATTTTAAAATTGAGGCATTGCCTTTGGGGACCAAGGTAGGTCAGTAAGCAGTGTGGGTTATGGGTGAACTGAACTTGGTATGAGTTGGGATACATGCAGTAGATTTTTGGATGACCCTAAAATTATGGTGAGTCGGCTACGAGAAAATTGGAATAGTGAAATCTGGAGAAAAGAATTGTGAAGGCTGTCCCCATGTACATACATTTGTTTTAACCACCAAGCTGAGTGTCTAGTGTCCTTGGGCTCTCTGTAGCTGTTTCGCTTGTTGCAATGGAGCAAGTTGGGAAAGAAACTAAATGGGCTGAAATTGGTTATGGCCCATTAGCAGAATAGAACACAAGGTCTTAGTTCGCTGAGTTAATTGAATCAATGTCAATGCTGCTGTATATCTTATTTAAATGCTGGCATAAATACATTACTTGTGTTTATGAAGGTTTTACCTTTTATGTGTACAGTGTTAACCTTTAAGGTAAGATGTACATTTATTAGTTTATCCTAGCAGGTGTCATGCAGTTTAGAATTAATTTTCACTTTAATTACAGTTCAGCAGATAATTACAACAACAGCAGCTACAACAACAACTCAGAGACCAACGACAGGTATGTGATTATCAGCGGTAAGAAAACTTACAGACTGAAAAAAAAATCTACATATATTTCCAAACAAAATTAAACATTTCCCTGTATTTAATAAGTTGGCCTCTTGTTAATTATCTCCTCAGTAAGAGATAAAATTGACATAGGTAATTAATTGTTTCTCCATGAGCATTATTCATTGAATTTTACAGAAATGAGCTATTTAGACTCAACTGATCTTAATGCTGTACACCTCCAAACCCCTTTCATCTTTCTTCTACTTCTTTCTCCTTTGACGATCTATGCTATCTACCTCAACTCCTTGTGTGATAGAGGGTCCCACAATCTCACTCCTATCTTGGTAGGTAGTTCTCCTGAATACCCTATTGGATTTATTAGTGACTTTGTTATATCTTTGAGATATTTCTCTCAGGTTCAGCATCTCGGAGCATTCCTTTGAGTGACTCGCTCACTCTTTACAAACCGGGATATATCTTCACTGGCCCAATACTGGATGAGCTCTGAGCCCACAGCTGAATAACTGAATAACCCCATTTTTTGGTATTGTTTCTTACTGGAATGGACACATGCCCTGTTTGGAGATTTCTTGACTTCAGAACATACACTTTGGCTGCCTGTAGCCAGCATCATTAAATCAAAAAAATGGTCACACCATTGAAGAGGTAATTTTGCTGAGTTTGACCTGACTGCCTGCAAGAGCAACTCATCTAGCCCCACTACCAAGTACCCACCCTCCTTCAACCTTTCTCTGTGGCCCTGCAATTTTGTTTTCCTTCAGATAATTATCCAATGATATTGATAAAGACTAGTAAAGTGCTAAGCTGATGTATTTATCAGTAAACAATCGACATTTTTGAAGGATAACAATAATATGCGGTGTACATTTTGGTCTCTTTACTAAAAGAGGGATTTACTTTTACTGAGACAATTCTGACTGGGTTCACTAGATTGATGCTTGGGATTTGGGGATTAGTTATGAGGAAAGATTGGGCCCATTCTTGTTGGATTGTAGAAGAATGAAAGGTGATCTTACTGAAACATTCTGTGGAGTGCTGTGATGGTGGGGAGAGGATTGACAAGACAGATGCTGAGAGGATGTTTCTCCTCATGCAGTATTATATAACAAAGCTGCACAGTTTGCAATGAAAGAATTTCCCACTTAAGGCAGAGATAGGGAAGAATTTCTTCTCACAGAGAATGAGTAGAATTTGGAATTTATTTATCCCAGACAGCAGTGGAAACTGGGACAATGTATTCAAGACTGGATAAGCCATTTTTGATTAACAAGGGTTATGAGAGACAGGCAGAAAAGGGGACTTAGACTCAATTGTATTAGCTATGATCGAATTGAATGAGTATGAAGCCTTGATGAGCCAAATAGCCTGCTCCGCCTACTTATGATGTGTAAATTAATACAAACTGCATCTTTCAGCATCTGTTTCAAGAAGATAGCAAATGACAATAGGCTAATGTAATGTTAATCTTTGGACAGGTTGCAGTGTAAAAGAGCACAAGCAAGTGGAACTTCCAGTTCCAGGTCTTATTACTGCTTCCTTTTTAAAATGTCTAAAGAGCTAATAATTTAAATTTGAGAGATGAGAATTATTTTTCTGATTCACAAATTGCACTTGCAGTTATTTGTTAAATTATTCAAAAAGCTTAAGGTAAAACTTGAATTATCTAAAAGTGCAAATATTGTCAGGTAGTCGTGCTGATTGTCAATTTGTTGTGATTTGTTGGATCCAGTTTTTCGATCTGGAATAAGATATCTAGATGTGGGTGATGAAACCACATTTAGCCTACACGTGTCCTGGGACCCTGCTGATTCTCGTGTTACACAGTACAAAGTGTCCTATGTCTCTCTTAAAGGAGACCGTGCAGAAGAAGCGGTAAGCATGGTCTGTATAACTTTTTATGCATTTTATTAGGAGTGGGAGTGTCGTTATGATTGGCTGCGTGTAAGGTAAACTCAATTTGAAAATCAGGGGGAGCGCACCTTTACTGGTTACAACGTCAAGTTCTTCCAGTGTTGCTGTTCACACTTCAAGTGTTAACTGAATCACTGCCTTCCCTCACAACCTATACCTCAGCGCTGCTCAAAGATATTCCCTCAGTGATTCCATTTTGAGAGTTGATTCATTGCTGTGATGACTGAGTGAGAACTCTGAGAGCGGGAGTACAGCTGTTATAATGGGACCAGAGCTCAGTGAGTGGGAGTACAGTTGTTATAATGGGGCCAGGGCTCAGTGAGTGGGAGTACAGTTGTTATAATGGGGCCAGGGCTCAGTGTGTGGGAGTATGGCTGTTATAATGGGGCCAGGGCTCAGTGAGTGGGAGTACAGCTGTTATAATGGGGCCAGGGCTCAGTGAGTGGGAGTACAGCTGTTATAATGGGGCCAGGGCTCAGTGAGTGGGAGTACAGCTGTTATAATGGGGCCAGGGCTCAGTGAGTGGGAGTACAGCTGTTATAATGGAGCCAGGGCTCAGTGAGTGGGAGTACAGCTGTTATAATGGGGCCAGGG